AGAGCAAGACTCTGTCTCTAAAAATAGCCAGCCATTGTGGTGGGTGTCTGTAGTCCCAGCTACTTGGGAGGGTGAGTGAAGAGGATAGCTTGATCCCAAGAGTTCGAGGTTACTGTGAGCTATAATGCCACAGCACCAGTCCCTAGGGGGACTGAGACTCTATCTCAAAAAAAAAGAAAGAAAAAAAGAAAAGATTGATAAATCTGACTATACTAAAATTTTCCTTTTCATCAAGAGACTATAAAGGGGGAAGAAAAGCCACATGTGAGAGAATATTTTGCAGTACATGTAATTAACAGGGGATTTGTATCTCACATATATAACTTCTACAAATCAGTAAGAAAAAGAATCCAGTAAATGAATGAGAAAAATCATTTAAGATGTACCTTACAAATGGGGATATCTAAACATTCAATGAACATATGAAAAGTTGCTTAACCTCATCAGTAATCTGAAAAATGTAAATTTAAACCACAAGCTATGGCTCAGCGCCTGTGGCTCAAGTGGCTAAGGCACCAGCCACATACACCTAAGGTGGTGGGTTCTAATCCAGTCCAGGCCTGCCAAACAACAATGACGGCTGCAATCAAAAAATAGCCAGGCGTTGGGGCGGGCGCCTGTGGTCCCAGCTACTTGGTAGGCTGAGGCAGGAGACTCACTTGAGCCCAGGAGTTGGAGGTTGCTGTGAGCTGTGATGCCATAGCACTCTACCCAGGGGGATAGCGTGAGGCTCTGTTTCCAAAAAAAAAAACCACAAGCTACCACTACACACTTTTCTAATAAGTGAAAATTATGATGCCTAACAGGAACATACTTACTGTGTTTGTGAAAGTATAAGTCAGTAAAAGCTCTTTAGAAAACATTTTGATGGCTCGGCGCCTGTGGCTCAAGTGGCTAGGGCGCCAGCCACGTACACCCAAGGTGGTGGGTTCAAATCCAGCCCAGGCCCACCAAACAACAATGACAGCTGCAACCAAAAAAAATGGCCGGGCGTTGTGGCAGGCTGTG